GCTGTATTAATATTTTCGGGTTACTATTTGCCATGGAATCATCAAAATTTGTTAGTTAAAACATCTTGGGTCCTCGGAGTAGGTCGACTAAAAGTAGGTCACCTTGACCTACTTTTCGATTTATATGACTATAATTGAATATTTCCAGTACTAATTGGCTAAGAATCATCAAACTTTGTCAGTGGATGCATCTTGGGTCTGCAGAGTTAATTGACTGAAAAGGAGGTAACTGTGGCCTATTTTTGAAATTTTATGGCTTTATTTAAATATATCAGATACTTATTGGCTTAGAATCATCAAACTTTGTCAGTTGATGTATCTTGGGTTCTCAAAGTATGTCATCTGAAAAGTAGGTCACTGTGACCTACTTTTGAATTTTATGGTTATAATTTTTAAAATATTTTAGGTATTAATTGGCTTAGAATCATCAAATTTAATTGATGCATCTTGGGTCCTCAGAGAATGACAAGTGATAAGTAGGTCACCATGACCAACTCTCAGGTACATGTACTAATTGGCTTAGAATCATCTCAGGTTTTCAGAGTGTTTCATCTAAAATGTAGGTCATGATGACCTACCTTTGAAATTTCAAGGGTTAATCTAAATATACAGGATACTTGGAGGCTGCATATATAAGTGATAGGTTGTACAGTTTATCAGAAGGGCGATCTAAGGCCCTTGGGCCTCTTTTTTTTTTTTTTTTTTTTAAATTGGGCTTCATTATGTCCCAAAACATTGATGTTTGTTGATGTAGTTTAGCCAGCAATGAATAACTTATCATGCATGTCATGTTAGTATAGTTTACCTCTGGGTTGTAGCTAATCTGAATGTGTCATTCTAAGTATACTGGTGATAGATATATAATGTATCAAGCACATATATGGTAAACCACATAAAAAGTAGAACTGTCAACACAAGAGTGAAGCTTGAAAGAATTTATTAAAACCACAAATCAGGAGACATATTATATGTGAATCTCTATGTAATTTAATCTTATAGAGTATTCATCTTTCTAATCTCAGCGAGATTCGTAGGGACTAAAAATTTTGGTCTGGTGTCCCTACGTACATGTAGGGACACCAGACCAAAATTTTTAGTCCCTATGAATCTCGCTGAGATTATCATCTTTCTTAAGAGGCGAAAAATTAGTTTTAGATTATTTTTAACATTTAATGAATGTAGCAGATGCTTGTCTCGCATATCTGTGAAAACAGTGTTGCACAAATAAATGCAGAATCTCCATATCAAAATATGTTTAATTTTTCATATAAGATTTTGATACGGGAATACTTGAATTGCTGGTTGATATTTTTTTCATTTATTTGTCTATTTATATAAATATTATTCAGTTCATTCAAATACATACAAAGTTCAAAGATTTTAGTTTCATAAATTTCACACATTGCATTCTTGACACCATTTACAAAGAAAATTTTACTTTGCCATCATTTCATACAAAGAAAAAAATAGATAATGAATAATTCAACAGACATCTATATAATCCTTATACTTAATAAAGCAGTGATAGATGCTGTAAAATGAGGTAGCTATTTTATATAATTATTTAAAAAAAAATACCAAAAAAAGCAAAGACAAACAGAAAAATAAATTGAAAAACATACAGGCTGGCATTCATTCTTAATATAATTAATTCTTGATTTCTATTTGATATAACATATTCACATGTATATGCATGACCAAAAAAAAGAGTCCATCAAACCCCAGTGCAAATTTAAAACAAAACTATTTTAATAAGACAAAAAAGGCATCCCTTGCTTCCATTGAATAAGTATTTTTTAACAAATGCGATTTATTTTGAGTTTCTTTCTGGGTTGAAAGAATACATTATTGAACAATTATAGTATATATAAAACATACATAGCTTCTTTTATTGATTTGTAAACTGGATTGATGGCCTAAAGAGGCCTAGATATTACACCATGTAATTCTGCTGGGAATGTAGTCTATTGATCAAAAAGATATGTCTTTATTTTGCATGATGCAGCCAGTTTAATAAACCGTAGCTTTGTTATACTGTTCAGCTAAATTATCCAGGTTTGCGCTGTGTTTTACAAAATCATCTGTTGCCAGCACTATATATACATACATATCCAGTCCTGAAATGTACTTTTGGATGTGGATTTTTATGGAAGAAGACAGTGTATAACAATAAAAATAATTGAATAGGAAAAACTGTTCAACTGTAGCCTTCATTAAATGAATGGTTTTCCTACACTTCATATGTGCTTACATCTGTATATATATATATATTCTATTTTATACTGGGAAATAATGATCTTTGAAGCAAATCAAATTATAATTTTAAACTTAAAGTAAAGTGCAGTCCATGATAAGCACTTTTCATTTAAAAGGCTATTCTGGGCTTCTTGATGACATTGATCCACAGATTAGTTAAAAATCAATATATGGAGATCTCCATAACCAATCATATTAAAAGCAGGACCTCCACTCTAATGTGAGTTAATACAGGTAAAATTCTAAATATGAGTATAATGTACAAGATTTCATTACATATATTACATGTACGAAGAATGTTTAGAGTAGATTTTTTATAGCCACACTGTGAGGTGAAATTTTATGTTGTGTACTTTAAATGTTTAAGTATTGCTTTGGTGTTTTTATGGATCGATGTTTACCCTATTTTATCTTTTGCAAATTGAAGTTTTGGGGTAGCACGTATTCAAAACTTATCAATTTTTAGTCCTTTGTAAGGAAGTAAGAAAATGCCAGTCAAAGGTATTACTTGGAGGAGTAGGATATGTGGTTTATTTTGTAAGTACATGTATCATATTAATACTTCATGTAGTTGTGGGTAATATATTTGAAAATTTTCACCCCAGAGAATCCTTGGGTAAAGGGGATTCAAATGAAGGGCCACACCCTCTTTCAAGGGGATGTAACTGTCATTTTTTCATAATTTTTTAATAACAGTGCACATGCTAAGTGGCATAGACTTACCTATTAACGAGACCGAGTCTTAATTCGAGTGTGCATGCTTTGCGCAGCTTATTAATTTCATGCAGTCTTAAGTACGACATTACATCTTTCCTAATTTTTATGATTTTAATACAAAATTAACAGTATTTATAAAGTCTGGGGGTCTGAAAATGTGTTTTCAAGACAATGATTAGGAATAAACACTGAAATGGCTCTAACGACATCACACTTTTCCGGTTTTGTAAGCAATGCACGATGCTGAAGAATGACACATGACTTACTTGAGTATTTAAGACGTCAATGGACATTTTACTTAAAACTGTTGACAGAACATTAAAAGAAACATATCAGCAATCCAAATACTATTATTTTATTATCAAAATAATTCACCTGCGCCGATACATACACATGTGTATCGCATTGGCAAATTTAGAGGTATTGGGCATTTTAAAAAAAAATTAAACTTTATAATAATTCCTAGACCAACCCAGTAGGTCAACTTTTTTGAAATTTCACAATTTGGACTTTTAACAATAACTTTCATATATTTGACTGAAAAAGAAATCCCTAGGGCAGAAATACCAAAAATATTCAGAAAATGGGATAATTTGGTACTTTTCCAACAAATTCCCATAGGGTCCAATAGTAAAACTTTAGAACCTTTGAGATGCCTCCCTAAGAAATTGGGATGGTAAACATTGGATAATTTTTTCTTAAAACAATAAATATAATAGTAATTCATACAAGAAAATTTATCAAAATATCTTGGCCTCGTTAAATGTCAAATAATGCTGTATATCAGCATATGAACAATCTTGAAAAGTAGATCCAAGGTCAAGTTCAAGGGTCACAAGGTTGGTAGTCTTGGTATTTTACAAAAGCCATTGTGCCAAGCAATTAGTGTGCAAAATATCACATCCATACCTCTTACATTTCCCAAGATATAAGGTATGACAGACAGATGGACAGACAGACAGACATCAGGTAAAGTGATCTTAAGTAACCCTCTGCTCTGCAAGCGACACAAAAATCTTCTTAAGAGCAGCAAAGCCATGATTAATAGTTGTATTAATCTGGAAGCATCCTCAGGAAGTGTACTTTAACCATTTGAATGGTTGGTGCTAGGGCTTTCATTTATCACACATGTATTCCTTGTGACAGTTAAATAAGGCCTTTCTTTGAGTAGAAACAATTTTGACCTTCTGACCTTGACCTTTGATTTTGACCTACATTTGTAAAATCTTTAACCTTGCCTTTTCACTTTTAAACAATTGGTGCTTAAGGGCTTTCATATTTCTCTTATATATTCCTTGTGACAAGACCTTTCCTTGGTACCAATGTTTTTTACCTCCTGACCTTGAACTTGGAGTATGACCTACTCTTGAAAAACTTTAACCTTGCATGGCCATATTTTCTTAATGGTCTTTCTTTGGGTACCCACATTTTTTAACTCTTGACCTTGAACTTGGAGTTTGATCTATATTTGAAAAAAAAACAAACTTTAACTTGGCCTTGAGCTGCCATTTGGGGGCATCAGTGTTTCAAAACACAACTTGTTTAAAATTTACAAAAGATTTTTTTCTTCAAATTTTCGGATATGCTTTGGTCAAGAGTAAATTATTTATACTTAGCAATGAAAAATGTTACATCTGTATTAATATTACGCAAAGGCCTTCCTAAAATGAATGTTAACATGAGAGATTCTTCCTACATCCTTGTGTCGAGTTCTTTAACATCATGACGCACAGATATTCATTAATTAAGTAAATGTTTTGTGTATATGTGAGTAGCAGTCACAACAGTGTCATTATTCTATAATTAGTTTCAGTGAGAACAAGATGCTTTCACGAAGAATCTACGTCTGCTATGAAACAGTCGTCACATTTACGCAATCATATTTTTTCAGCTGCCTTTATAAAATTAATTTAATTCCCAATTCACTGTGTTTCTATACTTGACTTTATAGGAATAAGACATATTGTAAGAAATAAGATTTTTTAAAAAAAATTTATTTTATTAAACATTTATTTTTCAATGGACAGATGTTGAGATGACATGCACACTGGAATAAACAGCATGCCCTTGACACAGATTGCTGTGCACCCTTCAGACAATGTACCCCCATCAGGGAAACAGACCAAAAAGCCTCAGCCTACACCAACAAAAAAGAAAGATTCCACCAAGGTTAGTTTTTCCCTATTTTGTTAGAGTCTAATTAGAAATTACAGGAGATATCAAGTACTTAGTGTTCATGTCTTTTTTTTATATGCCCATCTTATGGCATTCATGTCTGTCCATCTGTCTATCTGTTAGTCTTTTCATTTTGGGCTTATAACTTAAATACTACAAAGCTTACAATAATCAAACTTTTTCAGCTAATATATTTTTGGTAGAAGGTGTATTACACACAAAATTAGATCATTGTGAACTTTAATTTAGATGTAGTCAAATATGGCAAAACCCTGTCTGGCTTATAACTGGAGAACTATGGGACCTAAAATCATCAAACTTGGTCAGTTAATGCATCTTAGATAGAAGGTGTGTGTGACATCTTACAGTAAGGGCACTGTGACTTTTAATTTCGTGATATTGAAAAAAAAACATAATCCCTACAGTAACCTTATTCAATAATGGTAAAATAATATACATTTTTTTTTTCATGATTTACTGTAAAGCTTTATAATTAACAAAATATAATGTTTCTTTTATTTTTAACAATAACAAATGTCACGGTTTCAAGAAATTTATTTTGCATGTACAATTTTCCTTAATTGCACAATTTATTCACTGAATTCAGAATAAATTTGTATCTCAAGAAATCATTAACTTCAAAGAAGAACAGAGATAAACATTTAAGGTAGTGCTGTCTTCTCTGGGGATTAATTATCTAGCTTGCTCTGAAATTGTCTCTTAAATGTGATCTGTCAAATCATAGTCATGTCAGCAAGCAAATGCCTTGTCACATGCATTTTTCTTTGTAGTTGGTTGTACAAGTTGAATTAAATGTAGAAATGGATCATTTACTGTTTTTTTTTTTCTTGAATGGAGGAACATTAAAAAATTGTGCCACTACAGATTGCTTGAATTTAAGTAAATGTATATTTTGTGCAGAAATTCATCATTACAGAGGTTGAGATCTTAAACTTGTATGTGTATGTGTACGTGTGCATATACTTTGACGTACACGTTTTTGTAATTTGTTGAGATTTTAATGACGTGTAACATGTAGGTGTACACTCGATCATTGTCTCTGTTTCAACTCTTTAGAAGTTTTGTGACGTCAATTTGATTTTAGTCAGTAAACAAAACATGGTTAACAATGGTTAAAATAAGTGCTCATGAAACTCAACATCCTAAATAATTTACAACAATCACATTTTCACACATAAATTGATTAACTTTTATTATAGAGGCTACAAGTTTACACTTATGTGTAGATGCCATTCTACAAGCTCTAGGAACGTGTAGAAAACTTGTCATCACTAAAATCGATGACGTAATATGCAAGGAATTTAGGGAATTCCCCTTCTAGACATACACGTACACATATGAAATCTCAACCTCTCTATTAACTCAAAAAATATTGTTTCAGTTGAGATTTAGGTGTGATACTGGTGAGTTTTAGCATTAGAATAAAGGTCAAGGTTTGAGGAATAATCCTTTCTTAGCCTTGATATTGGGGCAAAATAAAAGTTATTCTAATTGTTTGCATTTCAGCATATATAGGAAATTGCAATGCAGTTTTGAATGTTAAAGAAGAATGGATATTGGCTTTCTGTACTTTGAATTGTACCACCTGAACTTCTTCCTAGATAGGGTATAATAAATCCAATCCCAAATATAAGCCTTATTGATTTGTGTAGAGTGTCTGCCAAAAACTCTTCCTAGTTGACCCGATAACTGAAGAGTACGTGAAGTCTTTCCTATTCCAAATGCTTTAGTTGATAAGAATCCTTTACACAGATGGAGATTTAAAAAAAAAAATTGTAAACCACTTTCCCCATGGCACAAGTCTATATGTTGATGATTGTCCACTAGTGTGCATAATAGTTTTATTTGTTTTTTTTCATTTAACTCCATTGTGGGTGTCTTATAGTATAATGTTAAAGCTTTAGACTGGTAAATTGATCAAGTTGAAATATTTGATACACTTCGGAGCCAACCTTGGTCTTCTTGACTTTGACATTAGCAAAACAAAAAAAGATCTTTATAGAGAATTACCCATTTTTGGTATAAATTTTCTATTATCATACCTCAAAAGATTTTCACTATATATATATATATATATATATATATATATATATATATATATATATATATATATATATATATATATATATATATATATATATATATATATATATATATATAAAAGGATGAATTTAATAGCTACCCAAGTTATACTAGTATAACCTGGGTTGGGGCAGTTTACACTTTATAAACCGCAAAGCGGTTTATAAACAAGCGTAAACTGTTCCAACCCAGGTTATACTAGTATAACTTGGGTAGCTAATAAATTCTTTCCTTATAATTTAATTTTCCATCATAACGTGTAGAAAATAATACAATTTCTTCTTCAAAAAAGCCTTCAAATAATGCATATTTTAAATGTAACGTCAAGCAGATTGATACGCTTTTGACGTAAGTCATTGTGACGTAGGCAAAGCAGGTTATACGATTTAGACTTATTTTTTTATCCAATCAAATGACGCATTACAACCAAAATTAAATTAATCATATATATAGTTTTATTTATCAGAGAAAGATGACTCAGGTTAGGATTGTGGCTAATGGGCCTCTTGCATATTTGATAAGAATCTTGTGTCTCACAGACTGTGATAACAATTTATTGATTTTAAACATTTAAATTCCTATTGTACTGAAATAAAGGAGGATCAATATTATTTTAGATTTTCAATGTTTCATGATTGCACTTTCAAATGAAAATAGCATAAGAATTCTTAAATCATCTAGCTTCTGTACCTGAAATTCCAGATATTTTTTGTATCAATATGTAATCTTTATATACAGGTAACTCTCGATACCTCGAAGTCCGCGGGACCAAGGAAAAACTTCGAGAGATCAAGAGTTCGAGTTTTCAAGAGTCTGGAATTTTCCGGGTTTGTTGACAGGTTTTAAATTAGTCTTACCGGATGTAATGATTTTCATGCAGTGCTAACCTTTTACACGTGTTTTTTATAAAACAACGATATTTTTTCGTAATCCAGATAAATATTTCATCAAACTGAGTAAAGCAAAAAATGTATATCGTCATTTCATGTATATTTATTTATTCTTCGTAATACGGACATCATACTATGCATTCGTTACATGAAAACATTTTACAGCGTCGTGCATACTTTTCCAAAAATGATCACTGAACGCAGTTTTGTAAGTGTTTGTCCTAAAATAGTCGTCATATTGACATTGAGGCTGTTTCTGCTTTTTTCATGTTTTGTTAAACTTTGACACTGCACTCGAAATAAAAATTAAATTAGTGTTTTGTCTTTTTATCAATTACAGTTACTACTTTTCAATGACACTGCGTCTCTAAATTAATTATCGTAAGACAGTCGATGATAATTATTTTAATAGCATATAGGCAAAATATGATTAATTATCACCTTGCAGCATAAGTGTCACCCGAATAAACATCCTGTTCCCTGAGACCCGTGTCTTCTGCCTGGGGCTATTTAAATGTCCAGGTAAAGGTGGTAATTATATAACCTTGTATACAAATAGCCACTTCGAGGTATCGAGGGTAAATTCTAACAAAATATGCATAGCGGGACTGCATTTTGACTTCGAGGGATCAAGGGTTTCGAGAGATCAAGAGTTCGAGAAATCAAGAGTAAATTTGCTTAGTTATATAGTGGAAAAATTCGGGACCGGAAACTCACTTCGAGCGATCAAGAACTTCGAGAGATCGAAGTTCGAGCCATCAAGAGTTACCTGTACTCAACTTATAATTATTAAATATGTAAATAACACAATGATGGAACCATACAGTACATGTACAAGGAAAGGTATAATGCACACTTTCATACACTGCATTCAAACCAAATAAAAGTTGTAAAATTATAAACTCAAGAAAATTCTTATTAAAAGATTCTAATATTGTGCTTTTTTAATTCAGTGCTAAGATTACTTGTGAAAGATGGCTGAAACAGACACAAAATTATTCATAAAAGGTCCTGAACAAGGGGTGTCTCTTAGTTGTACAAACCTTTAACTTTTTTCTGCATGTTAAATGATACTGTGAATTATTAAGCAATTAAATGATTATTCCTTTGATTAATGGAAACTATCAGCAAAAAATTGCATTTTGATCCAAATTTACATAAAAGAATGACTTTCCAGGATGTTTATATGCACATAATGTTAATATTTTATAGATGTGCACATACATTAGAATTAAGATTTTCAGATGCATTGTAAATTGTCAAGAGGCAAGTGACATCTGCATAATGAACAAGAGGCTCATGGGCCACAATGCTTACCTGAGTCACTTTGGCCCTTTATTCTAGTAACATTTTAGATTTTTTTTTCACTTTCTTCTCCCATGTAAAATACTGACCCAAGCCTAGCCAAAAAGGGTTATAATTTAACAAATTTGAATCCACCCAGCATACGAATGCATCAATCTAACTAAATGTATTGCTGTTCTGGAGGAAGATTTTTATAAGATTCTTTTCTTCTGTACAATCAATATGTGACCTGCCCCCTCTTCCCCTCCTAATTTAGCCTTACCTAATCAAAGGGTCCATAGTTTTGGGGGGAGGGGAGACTTCAACCCAAGCAACCTACTAGAAATATTTAAGGAATCAGTGTCTAGTTCGTTGATTATGCCAGGGCATCAATGATAGTTGGAAACCTGGGATAATTTGCGTAACGGGCAAAGCCTGTTATGCATAAATTATCCCACGTTTACAGCTGTCATTGATGCTGCGAGAGACTGACGTGGATATTAGGTACTTGACCTTTTACATTTGATTGTAATTCAAAGTTTTACATTGAAATATATAAGGAAAATCTTTAAAAATCTTCTTTCCAATAACCACTGGGCCAGAAAAGCTGAAATTTATATGGAAGCTTCCTGAGGTAGTGTAGATTCTAAATTGTTCAAATCATGACCCCCAGGGCTAGGGTGGGGCCACAATGAGTATTACAAGGGGGAAAATCTG